GACTCCGTCAGGCAGCCCGCCAGCACCTGCAGCCCCCGCGCATCCAGCTGCCGGGCCAGCAGGTTGCCAAAGCCCGAATCGCAGCCTGTGATCAGCACAAACTTGTCTTCCAGGCCGGGCACCGTCTGCCGCTCGCGGTGCCATCGCCACAGCAGCCACAGCCCCAGCAGCACCAGCAGCCACAGCCACATCCTGACCGGGGGCAGCAGCAGCAGCAGCAGCAGCACGACGAGGAGAAGGAGGAAGAGCAGGAGGAGGTGGAGGCAGCCGGGACTCACTGAGCACAGTGGGGACACCGCAGCAAAGTGCAGAGCTGTCCCGAGCGACGCCTCCGGCCTCTGCTGACCTTGGACCTGCCCAACCCTGCGGGGCTGGTCCAGGAGCAGCGCCGTGCCAGCTCAGCTGAACACGGGGCCGGGCAGAGGCTCAGCCCGTCCTCCTGCGTTCCATGCAGAGCAGCCAAGCTGCAGCCGGATCGATGCGCTGCGCTCCCTGTCCCGTATCGCCCGCCGTGCCGAGCGCCGTGCAGCTTTACGGCGTTTGCAGACGCTGCTCACACCCATGTTCTCTCGCAGGGACCCACGTGAGCCGCGCATGCAGAGCTTTGGGTCCCATCCGCGGCCCCCGGCCTCTCACAGAATCACACAGAATCACAGAATCACCCGGGTTGGAAGGGACCCCAAGGATCATGTAGTTCCAACCCCCCTGCCTAGCAGGGCCACCAAACATACACATTTAGATCAGGTTGCCCAGGACTATTTCCCCTAGTCCTGCTGTTGTCAGCCCTTTTGAAGAGTTTACTCCCCTCCTGGGTGTAGGTTCCCTTCAGGTACTGATAGGCTGCCATGAGGTCACCCCGCAGCCTTCTCTTCTCCAGGCTGAACAAGCCCAACTCCCTCAGCCTGTCCTCATAGGGGAGGTGCTCCAGCCCCCTGATCATCTTAGTCGCCCTCCTCTGGACCCTTTCCAAAATCTCAATGTCTTTCTTGTACTGAGGGCTCCACACCTGGACACAGTACTCCAGGCGGGGCCTCTCGCTCGGCCCCTCGGCAAAGCCGCCCCTGGTTGGCACGGAGCCGAGCGCATCCATCCCGCCGCCCTCGGGCCACCGCGCGGCTGCTGCCTCACATGAGTGGGGCGCCGAAGGGGCTCCTCTCCCGGCGCTCGGGGCGGGATGAGGTCGGGACGCAGCGGGAGAAGGCACCGGCAGGGCAGAGACCGGGTCGGTGCCGGGGCTGAGCCCCGCGGGGCTCCCCGTCTTTCCGCCCCGGTGCCTCGACGGCCGGCGCCGCGCCGAGCCGCGCCATGCCGTTCCGGGCGGGGCCGCACTACATCTCCCAGCGACCCGCGCGTTCCTTCGGCCCCTCCGCTTCCCTCCGCTTCCCGCCATGGCGCCGTTCGAACCGGCGGCGCTGCCGGAGCTGCTCCCGGTGTTCTACCGCCGGCTCTTCCCGCACGGCGCCTACGGCCGCTGGCTCGGCTACGGCGGCGGTGAGCGGCGGAACCGGGCTGCACCGGGCGGGGCGCGGGGAGGCGAGTGCGGGGCTGAGACCGCGCACCGGCGGGGTCCGCGTGCCCCCCCAACCTCCCCAACCCACCCCGCACCCCCGCAGTGGAGAAGAACTACTTCCAGCTGCGGGAGTTCTCCTTCACGCTGCGGGACGATGTGTACGTGCGGTTCCAGTCGTTCGGCAGCCCGCAGGAGCTGGAGAAGGAGCTGCAGAGGACCAACCCGTACAAGATCGACATCGGCGCCATATATTCGCATCGCGTGCGTCCCCCCCTTCCCGCGCCCCCGAACTCCCCGGTGGTTGCTGGAGGACGACGGGGTGACCCCTCTGCTCCCCGCAGCCCAACCAGCACAACACGGTGCACCTCGGGGCGTTCCAACCCGTGGAGAAGGAGCTGGTGTTCGACATCGACATGACCGACTACGATGACGTCCGGACGTGCTGCAGGTTCCCGGGGGGGCTGGGGGCTGCGGGTTCCCGGAGGGGCTGGGGGGGCTGCAGCCCCGTAGAGCCGGGATGGCGCCCGCCTGACTGCTGTGCTCTGCCCGCAGCTCGGCCGACATCTGCTCCAAGTGCTGGACTCTGATGACCATTGCTGTCCGTGTGATTGACCGCGCGCTCGTGGGTGAGAGATGCGGGGAAGCACGCAGCCTCTGCGCACTGGGACCCCGCTGCCCTTCGTAGTGATGCCTTGAAGTGGGTCTAGGGGAGCGCTGCTGTGGGGCTGGAGCAGGAGCAGAGGGCAGGCAGGTGCCCGGCGTGCTCCCCCAGCCCCTCTGTGCCCCATAGAGGACCTGGGCATGAAGCACCGCCTGTGGGTGTACTCGGGACGGAGAGGTGTGCACTGCTGGGTCTGCGACGACGCCGTGCGCAAATGGTCCCCGGCGCTGCGTGCGGCCGCTGTGGAGTACCTGAGCCTGGTGAAGGTGGGTGCATGGGGGGAAGGGTTGTGCTGCCCACCTCCTTGGGCTGACCACGCTGTCCTTGCCAGGGTGGAGCTGAGACGGTGAAGAAGGTGAACCTCTCGGAGCCCGTGCACCCCTTCATCAGGTGGGTGCAGATGTGCTGCCTGGTGCGGAGCCAATGGCCGTGGGGTGCTGAGCTCCATCTGCTCTGCAGGCGGTCGGTGAACGTAGTGGAGAAGTACTTTGAGGCATACGCACTGCAGGGCCAGGATGTCTTGGGCAGCCCCGAGCGCTGGGACAAAGTGCTGGCCTTGGTCCCAGAAGGTATCCTTCCAGCTGCTCTGCTCAGGGTGGGCAGCGGGGTTCGCGTTGGCTGTGATCGGCCTTAACAGCTGGCAGAGCACCGTGAGCTGCTGCAGAGCGAGTTCCCCAAGAAGCGCGACTCAGTGCAGCGCTGGGAGCTGCTGAAGGGCCGCATGGAGCGGACACGGGTGAGTGGCTGTGGGGTGGTTCTGGGGTGGCTGTGGGGTGGCTGTGGGGCAGTGCTGCTCCCTGACTGCCTGTACCCACAGCGGGCAGCAGGCAGTGGGAAGGGCACGGCGTGCTATGCAGACTGGGAGATCATGCTGCAGTACTGCTTCCCACGGCTCGACATCAACGTCAGCAAAGGCATCGGGCACCTCCTGAAGAGCCCCTTCAGCGTCCACCCCAAAACAGGTGGGTCTCTGTACCCCAAATTGGGGGTTCCGGCTGTTTGTGGGGTCAACAGCCCATGCGGGGCACCCAGGGCAGCAGTTCCATCTCTTGCAGGCCGCATCTCAGTGCCACTGGACCTGCAGAGGTTGGATGACTTCGACCCGTTCGCAGTGCCCACCATCAGGTCTGCACATCAGGCTGGTGGCGGGGGATCCCCAGCTGTGGGCAGCCCCCCACATGCCGCCCTTCCCTGCAGCTCGCTGTGCCAGGAGCTGGATGTGGCTGGCGATGATGCAGAGCAGGAGGACAGCGAGGAGACGGAGCCAAAGCGGCGGATGCGGGGTGAGCGGGGCCGGGGGGCAGCAGGGGGGGTTAATTGCAGTTGTGGGCAGGCCGGGTGGGGGGTCCAGGCCCACCCCCCTTCACCCTCTCTCCTCAGACTACCGGCGGACGCAGCTGGCGCCCTACGTGAAGGCCTTCGAGCAGTTCCTGGAGGAGATGGAGCGCGCGCGGCGTGGGGAGCGGCTGTGGAGGAGCGGTGAGCGCTGGGGATCCCGCCGCTCCCAGCTGCTCTTCATTGCTTATTGAAAACCTAATGAGGTTCAGTAAGGCCAAGCGCAGGGTGCTGCGTTTGGGTCAGGGCCATCCCAGGTATTCACACAGACTGGGGAAAGATCTTGAGAGCAGAGAAGGACTTGGGGTTCCTGGTAGACGAGAAGCTGGACACGAGGCAGCAGCGTGCGCCTGCAGCCAGCTGTGTTCTGGGCTGTGTTAAAAAAGTCATCCCCCTCTATGGGCTCTGGTGAGGCCCCATCTGCAGCGCTGCATCCAGGCCTGGGGCCCTCAGCACAGGAAGGACGTGGAGCTCTGGGAGCGGGTCCAGAGGAGGCACTGAGATGAGCAGAGGGCTGGAGCAGCTCTGTGTGAGGAAAGGTTGAGGGAACTGGGGCTTGTTTAGCTGGAAGAAGAGAAGGCTGCGGGGAGACCTCGTGGTGGCCTTCCAGCACTTGAAGGGAGCGGATAAACAGGAGGGGGAACGGCTGTTGGTGAGGGTGGGTGCTGACAGGACAGGGGGGAATGGTTTTAAAGTGAGACAAGGCAGGTTGAGGTTGGATATGAGGAGGAAGTTTTTCCCCCAGAGGGTGGTGAAGCACTGGCACAGGTTGCCCAAGGAGGCTGTGGATGCCCCAGCCCCGCAGGCATTGGAGGCCAGGCTGGATGTGGCTCTGGGCAGGCTGGGCTGCTGGTTGGCAACCTGCACACAGCAGGGGGTTGGAGGTGGATGAGTGCTGTGGGCCTTTGCAACCCAGGCCATTCCATGATTCTATGATTCTATGATCATTTGATCTCTAAAACCCCATTTCTGCTCTTTCCCAGACCAGCAGGGAGAGTTCTGACCACGCTGCCGGCAGCCCCTGCCCTTGGGAGGCCGTTGATTGACCTTGATTGACGTCTGCTGCTGCTGTGGGGCAGGGAGACTGACCCCCCCCCCGGTTCCCTTCTCACTTCTTTTTATGCTTTTTGTACTTTTTGTACCCAAAATCCATTAAAGGGCGCTGCTCAGCCCCGTGTCCGTGTCCCTGGGGGGCAGAAGGGATGGGGCTCCCGCGGGACAAAACTCGGAGCGGGGCAAAATTCCCGTTCCCGAGGAACGGCTCCCGTTCTCGTGCCCCGGAACGTCCGAACGTGGCCCGGAACGCCCGAGCGCAGCCGGCGGGGCGGGCGGGCGGAAGTGCGCCGCGCCTCTCCCCCGGAAGTGATTCTCTTTCCGGAAGTCGCGCCTTCCGCCGCTTGGTCTCTTTCAGCCGCCATCTTGGGCTCCGCTTCCCGTACAGTGAGTGTCGCCGCCGCCATCCGCCTCCATCCGCCACCGCGTGGGGCCGGGAGTGCGGCCGGGACGGGAGGGAATGCGGGAGGGCAGCGTCGGAGCGGTCGGGGCCCTCGGTGGGGCCAGGGCAGCTCCGAGAGGGCAACGCCGGGGCGGCCCCGCGGGGACGGCTCCGCGCGGCGGGGGGAGGCGGCTGAGGCCGCGGCCGGGCAGGGGGGAGGCGGGAGAGCCGCGTAGGCTGCTGCCGGTCCGAGCCATGGGGTGGCGTGGGATCCGCTCCCGTCTGCTCTGTGCTGGGTCCGCGTTGTTGTTACCGGCGCGGGCAGCAGCCGGGCGGCCCTCGGTACCGGTTGATCTCCGAGCCCCCGGTGTGCGGTGGCGTTGGTTAAGGCCCATTGCCGGCGTCTGAAGGCGGCCCTTCGGGGACTTCTCGGGGCGGCCGCGAGTCCGGTGTGGTTTTTTTTTCCCCTTGTTCACGCAGAAATGCCTGGCGAAGCTACAGAAACCGTCCCGGCCACAGAGCAGGAGCTGCCGCAGCCACAGGCCGAGACAGGTGAGCCGGAGCTCCGGACCGGCGCTGGGAGAACCGCTGAGCCGTGAGCCCATGGTGGGGGAAAGCAGCAGTGGGGCGGCTGAAGGCAGCGCTGCGGGCTCCGTGCTGCCCTGGGGTTCACTCAGTCCCAGCCTGGTCCTCGGCCAGCCAGGCCCAGCAGAGTTGGTGGCCCTGCGTTGCAACAGGGGCCCCTTCCGTCTGCCCTCATATTGCTGTGCTGCTCACTGTGCCCGGGTAAAATCTATGAGTGCTTTGCGCCCGTGTGCCTGGTGTAGCATCTTTAAAGGCAGGGGTTACTTCCAGAGGAAGCTTTGGTCACCGAAGTTATGTTTTTTGTCTCTGCATTCAGGGAGGCGTTGCATCATCTACATTGGCATGAAAACGCACGTGGGAAGAGCGTGCAGTGCGTGATGGGCAAATAGTTGATGTGGTCAAGGGTGTGGGAGAGGTGGGACGCAGGAGAAGCTGGGGCAGCCTGAGCAGTCAGAAGCTGCTGGCAGGGTGCATCCGTTGCCAGGCGGTGGCCTCCTGACTCTTGGAGCAGGTTGAAGTGACGGCTGCTGTGTGGCAGCTGTGTGGCTGTGTCTGGGGGCAGCTGCTCCATTCCCCGTCAGGCATAGCTGGGATTCCTGCGGCTCGGTTGCCTGCCAGGGACTTGTGTCCATGGGGCCTCTCCTGGGGCACTGTGCTTCACTGGGTCACCTTCTGTCAGCACCGTGCTGCTCTCGAATCTCTCGCAGCGTTGTGGAGGCTGGGAGAAGTTGATCCCAGGCTGAGCTGCCAGTGCTGTGCCAGTGCTGTCCCCTGCCCTGGGGGGTGGCGTGGGGTGGTGAGGCAGAGCGGGGCTGGTTGCCCCCTCTTGTTTGTTGAGAAGGTGGAAGAGTGAGCACAAGGACTGTCATGGTCATTGTGTCTGTGCTGAGCCTGCCCCCCTGGGGCCAGGCCAGGCAAGAAGCCGGGCTCTGGAGGGCTCTGGTGCAGGGTGGGAATCTTCAGTGTCTTCCTCTGGCTTTCATCTCATGCTTCAAAGGTTAGTTGGTGTGTGGGAAGTTCGTGATGCTCAGCACAGAGGTCTCTGTGCAGGGCAGGGCTCCAGCCTCTAGCGTGCATGTGGCCTGGTCACAAGAGGCTTTGCAGTCTATTTACTGTAAACATCCCTTAACAAATTGCACATGGTTTGCAAGAGCCCCCACTCCACATTTGTTTGTGGAAGTGGCTGCTGGAGGAGGAGGGGTTGTCTGTGGGGCTGATTACAGGACGGCCTCACACAGTGCTCTCTGGTGCGTGGGGGTGAAGGAACAGAGAGGGCTGGACAGGATTTTTCTTAAGAGAGCAGAGTTGTCCTTTCTGCTTGCTCAGTACGGGGCCGGAGGCCAGCGTGCTCTTGGCAGGACGCACTGCTCCTTTTTGAAGTGTTTATGGCTTCCCCCCGAGCTGAAGTGTGCTGGTTGATGCTGGCTGTCCTGGCCAGTGGCTGGAGCATCCAGCAGAGCAGCTGCAGGCTCCTCTGCTGCCCTACGTTTTGGAATAGCATGGGGTCAGCAGGGTGTTAGAAACATCTTCTGAGCCGTGGTTCTTGGGCAAGAAAAAGTGAGCGCACCTGAAGAAGAAGCTGTTGTGGGTCTTTCCTGTGTGTGTTGCTGCTCTGGGCAACGGAGAGGGGGGGCGTGGAGTACCTGACTGGCTGTGGTCTTAATTTGGGAAAGATAGAGCCCTCCTGTGGGAGATCCATGTGGGGTGGCTCCTTCCTACAGGACAGCAGGCAAGAGTCAGCACCCAGAAGTTGCTGACTTTTCCCAGAAGGGAAAAAGGAGGAAATCTGCTCCTGTCTCATGGCTGCAGCTCTGCAGGCTGTGCTGGGGCGCTCAGCCCTTGGCAGGAGGCCTGGCCACATCGCCCCTGTCTCCATGTCACCCCTGTCTCACGTCACCGTGGGCGTGCAGGGCTGTGCTGCCCACACAGCCGGTTCTGCTCTCCTGACTGGTGGCACCAGTTCTGCTGGTCTGCTGCTGCCTGGGCTCTCACGCTGCCTCTCCCCTGCTCGGGGCTCCTTTGGTTCTGTGTCAGGCGTTGGGAATGGCCCAGCTGCGTGGAACGGGGCAGTGAGCGCTCCGAATGTAACAATCTGTCCTTCTCACCGTTCAGTTCCAGCTGCCCTCCCTCCTGCAGCCCCTGCTGCCACTTCTCCTGCTGCAGCGCCAGGTACTCAGAGCTCCTCAGTAACACCCCGTGTGTCACATTAACCACAGCGTGCTGTTCTGGATGTTTGTAGTTGCATTAACCCTGCTGGTGTGCAGAGGGAGAACTCTGGGTCCTGGCCCTGTCCTTACTCAGAGGAGCCAGGCAGGCTTCCTCCTGGTGCTCCTGGGAGGCTGCTGGGGGAGGCTGGCTGCCTGCTGCTCTCCAACTCCCTCTGTGTCATCCCTGAGCCTGGGACCGCTTCCCAGCGCTGGGGAGTGCTGGAGCCCGGGGTGGGGTCCCTGAGAGCTGCTGGGGCATTGTGCCCCTGGGGGCTGGAGCTGTGGGGAGCCCAGAGCCAGAAGGCGGACGGCAGGCTGTTGTGGGTGCATGTGTTTCTTCCTGTGCTGCCCTTGTTTTCTCCTTTTTTCTCATGGGTTCACTTTGTTTCTTTCCTTCAGCTGTTCTTCCTGCCGCTCATTCCCTGCCTCTGACTCCAGCCCTGGGCCCAGCTGCCCAGGCTGTTCCCACGGAGCCGCCCAGCTCTGCCCCAGCCGTGCCCCCAGCCCCTCTCTCCCCTGCTGTGGTCCCAGCTGCAGCAATTCCTGTCTTCTCTGCCCCTCCCCAGCCCTCTGCCGCAGCTCTGCCCCTCCCAGTTACTTCTTCCCCTCCTCCAGCTCCAGTTCCACCATCCCCAACTGGTTTTGCTGCCCAAGGTTCTCCAGGGCCTGCTGCTGTCCCAGTCAGCCCAGTGTCTCCAGGACTCCCAGTCCCAACGTCTCCAGTTCTGGCTGCTCTTCCTGCTGCAGGACAGGCAGCCCCCCCGGCAGCCCCCCCATCTCCAGCGAGTCTCGGCTGTCTCCCAGCTGCTCTTACGCCTCCTGTGAAAGTCTCTACTCCTCCCAGCCCCGCAGGAGCCACAGCGGCCCCTCACCCTGCGCCTCCCAGGAGCCCCGGGGCAGCCCCAGCTGCTCTGCCACCTCCCCTGGCAGCAGCCCCTGCAGGTGCCGCAGCTCTTCCCCAGAGCCCCCCTGCGATGCCAGTGCACCCTGCTGCACCTCTGCCCCCTCCAGCTGTCCCACTGAGCCCAGCCCTGGCAGCCACCATCTCCCCACCCATCTTCCTGTCTGCCCCCATGGCGCTGGCCCCTCTGCTGCCAGGTGGCACAGTGCCCTGCAGCGCTGCTGCTCCCCTGCGGGGCCCTGTGTCTGGGACTCCCATCTGCCCGCTGGCTCCAGCTGCTCCTCCCGGGACCCTGACCTGTCCTGTGGGCCCTGCCCTGGCAGCCCCTGGCTCCCCTGCAGGTCCCCATTCTGTGGCCAGGCCCCCCCCTGGGAGCCCGATTCCTGTGTCAGCCCCTGTCCTGCTCAGCCCATCCCCAGCAGCTGCCTTGTCCCCCTCAGGGCCACCAGCAGCAGCAGCAGCAGCTCCAGTTAAAGCAGCTCCAGCGACCCCTGTCTCACTGCCAGCTGCTGTGACTGCTGCTCCTGCCAGTCCCCTGCCTGTCACATCAGCGATGGCAGCTCCAGCCACCCCTCCTACGGCCAAAGGAGCACCCCAGAGCCCACTGCCTGCTCCACTGACTCCCTCTGCCCCTGCTGCACCAGCTCCTGTGGTTCCTCCAGCCTCTGCTGCCACCAAAGCAGCAGCCCACAGCCCAGTCACCAGCCCGTCTGCCTCTGCTGCTGTGGTTTCTGCAGCTACCTCTGGTGCCACCAAAGCAGCTCCCCAGAGCCCTGCTGCTGCCACTCCAGCTCCTGCAGCTGCCCCTGCTGCCACCAAAGCAGCTCCCCAGAGTCCTGCTGCC